CCATGCGGCTGCCCCCCATTTTCTGTGGCCGTTTGCGGTCCGGTACGCCGCGCATCAGCTCAACCTCTGGCCCCGTGTCTCCTTGCCGGAGACCTCGCCCACCCTGCTGTGGACGGGGAAGGTTGGCGATGCGTCGCGTTTCCGGGTCCGGGGTTCTCGTGCCTTTGTCCACGATACCACCGCGGACAAGCTCTCCGCCCGCGCTGTTCCCTGTGTCTTCCTTGGCTTTGTCCCTGACGCGCCTGGTTGGCAGTTTTACCACCCCACCTCGCGCCGTGTCTTCCCCTCTCAGGACGTCACATTTGACGAATCGGTTCCCTTTTACCGTCTCTTCCCCTACCGCACTGCCCCTCTCCCCCCCCCCCGCCACTCTTCCTCGCTCCAGGTGCTGCCCAGGTATACCCCCCTCCCGCTCCCGGTCCTGCTCCTACTGGTGTGTCTCAGGTAGACCCTCCTCCCTTGCCTCCGCCGGTTGAGGTCACAGGTGACTCAGGTCCTGCTTGGGGTGCTGCTTCTGGGGGTGCTGGGCCTCGGGGTGCCGAGACTGGGGGTGCTGAGCCTGGGGGTTCTGAGCCTGGGGGTGCGGAGCCTGGGGGTGCGGAGCCTGGGGGTGCTGAGCCTGGGGGTGCGGAGCCTGGAGGTGCTGAGCCTGAGTGTGAGGAGTCTGGGGGTGCTGAGCCTGGGGGTTCTGGGTCTGGAGGTGATGCGCCTGGGGGTATTGAGGAGCCTGGTGAGCAGTCTCCCTGGGGCGGCCGTCTTCGCAGTCGCTCCGCTGGTGCCTCGCCACTGCACTCTTGCCGTCGACCCCCTCTCTCCCCATAGCAGCTGCACGAGTGGTACGCTGGCCATCAGGGTCGCGCTGCTGGAGCTCGGGGCCCTACTGCGGGAGGCGCTGGCTCTGGTGCCTCTACTGGCCCTACTACTGGAGTCATTTCTTCTGGAGGTCCTTGAGCTGCTGAAGGTGCTGGTGCTGGAGGTTCTGGAGCTGCTGAGGGTGCTGGCGCTGGAGGTTCTGGAGCTGCTGAGGGTGCTAGCGCTGGAGGCTCTGGAGCTGCTGCAGGTGCTGGCGCCGAGGATTCTGAGTCTGCTGTTGTGCGCTCTCCTTGGAGTACCCGCCTTCGTCCGCGTGTGCCTCTCACCCCACAGCAGCTGCACGACTGGTACGGTCGCCGTCAGGGTAGCGCTTCTGGAGCTCGGGGCTCTGCCGCTAGAGGTAGTGGTGCTGGTCCCGGAGGTGCTCGTACTAGAGGTGCTAGAGCTGCTGGGGTTGGAGGTACTGCTGAGCCGGAGGCTACTACTGATGGCGACCCTGGAGCTGGGGGTGCTGCTGCTGGAGACATTGAGGCTGGAGACCCTGGGACTGGAGGTGCTGGTTCTGGGGGTGCTGCTGCTGGTGGAGCTGGTCTTGGAGGAGCTGGCGCTGCGGGTTCTGGAGTTGCTGGACGTGCTGGAGCTGCTGGGGGTGCTGGAGCTGCTCGTGCTGGTAACACTGCACACCCGCGCCTGTTCTTCGCTCCACCATCTTCGTCGTCTCAGCCACCGCCTGAATCTGTGCTTCGCCAGGTTCTTAGTCTCCCTTCGTCTACTGGTCTTTCGTTACAGCCTGGCTCACCGCTGCCTACTCCTTCTCCTTACACTGAGCAGTCAGGGGGTCTTACTGAGCATCGTGAGCCTGCGTCGCTTCCTGTTTCGCCTGTTCGGTCTGGTCATTCCGGTCGTAGTGTCCCTCGTTCGCGTCAGCCGGCAATCCCCGGCACTCGCCTTGTCGTCCGTCGTCCTTCCTCTCCTCCGCACCGTGTTCCCCTGCCTTCCCCTCCTGCGTCTTCTCTACCTGCCAACTCTCATCCTGAGTCTGACCGCACCCGTGCTGCTCACTCTACTCTCACGCGTCTGCTAGCCACTGTTGTCACTGACCCGTTGTTTGAGTCTGATGTTGCGTCTGCCTTGGTCGCTGAGCTTGTTGACTTCGCTGCTGCCTGTCGTCTAGACTACGCCGCTAGTCTTGTTGCTGAGTCTAAGTCTGTCTGTCCTCCGTACATCGGGGGTGAGTGTGCTCTTGGCACTGACGTCCTTGAGGACAGGCAGGAGGAGTTTGAGTGCTTTGCCGCTGCTGTACCTCATCTCGTGTCCATGTTGCTTGCCCCTGAGGGAGACCCGGATGCTCCAGACATCCCGACCCCGCGCTCTTACGCTGAGGCGATCGCGGGTGAGTACTCCTCTCAGTGGCAGACAGCCATGGATGCAGAGATGGCATCCTGGAAGTCCACAGGCACCTACGTTGACGAGGTTCCCCCTCCCGGGGCGAACATCGTCAGTGGCATGTGGATTTTCAGGGTGAAGCGGCCGCCAGGTTCTCCGCCTGTCTTCAAGGCTCGTTACGTTGCTCGAGGCTTCAGTCAGCGAGAGGGAGTAGACTTCTTCCAGACCTTCTCCCCTACCCCAAAGATGACCACTCTTCGGGTGCTGCTACACGTAGCCGCTCAGCGTGACTACGAGCTTCACTCTCTTGACTTCAGCACACCTTTCTTGCAGGGTAGTCTGCACGAGGAGATCTGGCTGCGCCGCCCTCCTGGCTTCACTGTGTCGTTTCCTCCTGGTACCCAATGGAGCCTCCGGCGGCCAATCTACGGTCTCCGCCAGGCGCCACGAGAGTGGCACGACACACTGAGGACTACACTTGCGGCTCTTGGGTTCGCGCCCTCTACTGCTGACCCGTCGCTGTTTCTGCGCACCGACACTTCACTGCCGCCGTTCTACATTCTCGTGTACGTCGACGACTTGGTCTTTGCCACTGCTGACACTGAGGCTCTCGCCCACGTGAAGTCAGAGCTGCAGATGAGACACACGTGCACAGACCTGGGTGAGCTGACAAGCTATCTTGGCTTGCGGATCACCCGGGACAGAGCACGCCGCACCATCATTCTGACTCAGTCACACATGGTGCAGCAGGTCCTTCAGCGCTTCGGCTTCACCTGGTCCTCGGCACAGGCCACTCCTCTGGCTACAGGTCACTCGCTCTCAGCTCCACCTTCGGACGAGTCCGTAGAGCCGAGTGGTCCTTACCCAGAGCTTGTTGGCTGCCTCATGTACCTGATGACTTGCACTCGTCCTGACCTCGCGTACCCTCTTGGTCTGCTGGCTCGCTACGTGGCTCCTGGTCGGCACCGACCTGAGCACATGGCTGCCGCTAAGAGGGTACTGCGCTACTTGTGCAGTACATCAGGCATGGGGCTAGTGCTTGGAGGGAAGAGCCCAGTTGTCCTCACTGGGCACTCAGACGCTTCTTGGGTTGACGACCAGGCTACTCAGCGGTCGTCACAGGGTTACACCTTCAGCCTTGGCTCTAGTTCAGTTTCTTGGCGTTCTACACGCTCGTCTTCAGTTCTCAGCTTCAGTTGTGAGGCTGAGATCTACGCCACAGCCATGGCTGCACAGGAGTTACGCTGGCTCACCTACCTGCTAACCGACTTGGGAGAGCGGCCTCGTTCTCCTCCAGTGCTGTACGTCGACAACAAGGCTGCCATTGCCTTGTGTGAGGAGCACAGACTGGAGCACAGAACGAAGCACATCGCTCTGCGTTACTTCCTGGCTCGAGAGTTGCAGTAGCGTGGTTAGCTTCGCCTGCGTTACGTGGCCACTCGGGCCAACACTGCTGATATATTCACCAAGGCACTTCAGTCTGGTGACCATCAGCGTTTCTGCACTTTGCTGGGGCTTGTGCCCACGTTTCCTCACTTGCTGTAGACTCTGCTTGTACTGTGATCTATATATGTATATATATATATGCCTCTTTGCTTGCTCTGCTAGGTAGAGATCACTGTACTGCTGTTGTTGCATATATATCTCTGCATGCGAACTGGCCTTGTGGCCCTTTGGTTGTGCTCAGAGTGTGTGGTGACGTTGTGATCCACCCTGAGCTTACTTTGCCTCTCTTGAGTGGTCTTGTGAGCCCTTGCTCTCCCCCACTTTGCCTATGGGGGTGTGTCAAACTATGATAATGCTTGTGCTGTGTAGGCTGTAGTGGGGTAGCCCATAAGGGGTACAACCCAAATTAGGGTTAGCATATGTACCCACATCTCTGATCAATGCACTCATTCCTGCCTGTACTTCTGACAAAACTTGGGGCGTGATCACCAAAATGACACACAACTTTATGTCAGCAAACAAGGTCACGGCAGAAAAATGTTTCCGCCTCTGGAGCAAGGAGTTGTTCACCCTGGTACTGGAAGGAAGGGGTGGGGGCGAAAAATCCGGGGCTTACCTGCCTGACCGCCAGGAGGATAGGGCTGGTACTTACGGAAACGGATCAGCTGAAGCGGGAGCTTGAACGCCCAACCACCGACCAAAATCAAATTTCAAGAAAATATTTTCTCGAGTCCTTGTTGCTCTAAACCTATGGGTACATTCTTGGCTTGTGTCTGACATGAGGTTAGACACGAAGTGAAGTTGAGGAAGACCCGAAGTGACCTGGAACTCGGGCAAATCAATGTTCGGAAGACCCGAAGTGGGCCACTTCGGGTCTTCCGAACCTCCCTCCAAACCTCCACTTCGTGTCAGACACGAGGTAGGAATGTACCCTATGTGGGTGGGGAAGGAAGGGGGGGAGAGGTTACCCTCCGTTCACATTTCTGCCATACCAGGTTCTGTTGAGATTAGAGAGAGAATGAATGCACTATGAAATGAAACAAGTACAAGTACCAACCCTAATTGGGTTGTACCCCCTATGGGCTACCCCATTACAGCCTAAATATATGCATCAGTAATATAATCATCTGACACACCCCCATAGGCAAAGTGGGGGAGAGCAAGGGGTCACAAGACCAGTCAAGCAAAGCAAAGCAAAGCAAAGCAAGCTCAGGGTGGATCTCAAGGATACCACACAAATTCCGAGCACAAGGTCAAGGCCACAAGGCCAGTTCACATGCAGCAGAGCATATATATATATAACAGTGCTAAACAAGCAAGAGCAAGGATATATATATGCAGCAGTACAAGCAAGGTCAAGAGGTAAGCAAGTGAGGCCCAACGGGCACAAGGCCTAGCAGAGTGCAAAAGCGCTGATGGTCACGAGGCGGAAGTGCCTTGGTGAACACATCAGCAGTGTTGGCCTCAGTGGCCACGAAACGAAGGCGAAGCTGACCACGCTGCTGCAGCTCTCGAGCAAGGAAGTAGCGCAGAGCAATGTGCTTCGTCCTGTGCTCCAGTCTGTGCTCCTCACACAAGGCAATGGTTGCCTTGTTGTCGACGTACAGCACTGGAGGAGAACGAGGCCGCTCTCCAAGGTCAGTCAGCAGGTAGGTGAGCGAGCGAAGCTCCTGGGCAGCCATGGCCGTGGCGTAGATCTCAGCCTCACAGCTGGAGCTGAGAACCGAAGAAGAGCGAGTAGAGCGCCAAGAGACAGAGCCAGAGCCAAGACTGAAGGTGTAACCCTGAGACGACCTCTGAGTAGCCTGGTCGTCAGCCCAAGAAGCGTCTGAGTGCCCAGTGAGCACAGGCCGCTCACGCCCTCCAAGCACTAGCCCCATGCCCGACGTACTGCACAAGTAGCGCAACACCCTCTTAGCTGCATCCATGTGCTCCTTCCGGTGACAGCCGGGAGCAACATAGCGTGCTAAGATGCTGAGAGGGTATGCGAGGTCAGGTCGAGTGCAGGTCATCAGGTACATGAGGCAGCCCACAAGCTCTGAATACGGACCACTCGACTCTAAGGACTCATCCGAAGGCAGAGCTGAGAGCGAGTGGCGAGTAGACAGAGGAGTGGACTGAGGCGAGGAGTACGTGAAGCCGAAGCGCTGAAGGACCTGCTGCACCATGTGTGACTGAGTCAGGGTAATGGTGCGGCGTGCTCTGTCCCGGGTGATCCGCAAGCCAAGATAGCTTGTCAGTTCACCCAGGTCTGTGCACGTGTGTCTCTTCTGCAGCTCGGACTTCACGTGGGCGAGTGCGGCAGTGTCCGCAGTGGCAAAGACCAAGTCGTCGACGTACACGAGGATGTAGAACGGCGGCAGCGAGGTGTCGGTGCGCAGAAACAGCGACGGGTCAGCAGTAGAAGGAGCAAACCCAAGAGCCGCAAGTGTAGTCCTCAGTGTGTCGTGCCACTCACGCGGCACCTGGTGGAGACCGTAGACTGGCCGCCGGAGGCTCCACTGGGTACCAGGAGGGAACGACCCAGTGAAGCCAGGAGGGCGGCGCAGCCAGATCTCCTCGTGCAGGCGGCCCTGCAGGAAAGCAGTGCTGAAGTCAAGAGAGTGTAGCTCGTAGTCACGCTGAGCAGCGACGTGCAGTATAACCCGAAGAGTGGTCATCTTCGGGGTAGGGGAGAAGGTCTGAAAGAAGTCAACTCCCTGTCGCTGACTGAAGCCACGAGCCACGTAGCGCGCCTTGAAGACAGGCGGAGAACCAGGCGGCCGCTTCACCCTGAAGATCCACATGCCACTGACAATGTTCGCCCCAGGAGGGGGAACAGCGTCAATGTAGGTGCCTGTGGACTTCCAGGAAGCCATCTCTGCGTCCATGGCTGACTGCCACTGAGAGGAGTAGGGACCGGCCATCGCCTCTGCGTAAGAGCGTGGGGTCGGGATGTCTAGAGCATCCGGGTCTCCCTTAGGGGCAACAAGCATGGACACGAGATGGGGCAAAGCGGCGGCAAAGCACTGGAACTCCTCCTGCCTGTCCTCAAGGACGTCCGTGCCAAGAGCACAGTCACCCCCGACGGACGGAGGACAGGCAGACGCAGACGCAGCAGACGCAGACTCAGCAGACTCAGCAGACTCAGCAAGAAGACTGGCAGCGTAGTCCAGACGACACGCAGCAGCAAAGTCGACCAGCTCAGCAACTAGGGCAGACGCAGCAGCGGACTCAAAGGAAGGGTCAGTGACAAGAGAAGCAAGAAGACGCGTGACAGTAGGACTGGCAGCACGGCGAGAGTCCGACTCTGGGTCGGCAAGTGTAGGAAGAGAAGACTGAGGAGAAGGCAAGGGGGCACGCAGAGGAGCAGTGGACGGACGCAGAGACATCTGGTGTGTGCCAGGGACAGGAGGAGGACGCTGACGCGAACCGCGACCACTAGGGCGAGCAGCTCGGACTGGCGAGGCAGGGCGGGACGCAGGCTCACGACGCTCAGCAAGACCGCCAGTAGGACCAGCGTAGGGAGAAGGAGAAGGCAGGGGAGAGGCGGGCTGTAACTGTGACTGTGACGGGACAGGCTGCGGACACTCTACGGGAGGAGAAGGACCAGTGGAAGGCGGGAGACCAAGAACCTGCTGAAGGAGCGGAACGAAGTACGGCCGAGGCCGCGCAGCACCGCCAGAGACAGCAGGGACAGCACCAACACCTCCAGAGGCAGCACCAGCACCAGTAGCAGCTCCAACTCTAGCACCTCCAGCAGCTGCAGAAGTACCTTTAGTAGGACCTTCTCAGCGCCAGCACCCGCAGCAGCTCCAGCTCCAAAGGCACCCCCGGGCCCGGCAGCTCCAGTACCCTCAGTACGAGCACCTCCGGGACCCGTGGTACCAGCTCCCTCGGCAGCAACAGAACCTCCAGCACCCGCAGCACCCCCAGCTCCAGCAGCTCGCCTCCAGCGCCGGGCAAACCACTCACGCAGCTCCAGAGGAGAGAGCGGCTCGCGGCGCGAAGAACGGTCTGGAGAACCACCAGGAACAGAAGCAGCAGGCGCAGCACTCCCAGACGCAGTACCCCCAGGCTCAGCACCCCCAGGCTCAGCACCCCCAGGCTCAGCACCCCCAGGCTCAGCACCCCAAGTCTCAGCACCCCCAGGCTCAGCACCCCCAGTCTCAGCACCCCCAGTCTCAGCACCCCCAGGCTCCGCACCCCCAGTCTCAGCACCCCCAGTCTCAGCACCCCGTGGCTCCGCACCCGCAGCAGCACCAGAGTCACCAGTGACCTCGACAGGCTCGACCGCGTCTACCTGAGACACACCTGAAGGGGCAGGACCCTGAGGGGGGAGGGGGTCTACCGGGGGGGGACCTGGGACCAAGAAGAGGGGCGGCGGGGGGAGGGACGGAGTGCGGTAGGGGAATAGCCGGTAGAAGGGAACCGACTCGTCGAACGTGACGTCCTGGGAGGACAGAACACGACGAGAGGTGGGGTGGTAAAACTGCCACCCAGGTGCGTCAGGGGGGAAACCCAGGAAGACGCAAGGAGCAGCACGAGGGGACAGCTTGTCCGCAGACAAGTCGCGGACAAACGCCCGAGATCCCCAGACACGGAACGCCGACGCATCGCCAACCTTCCTCGTCCACAGAAAAGCTGGGGAGGTCTCCGGTCTGGAGACCCTGGGCTGAAGGTTGATCTGATGCGCGGCGTACCGAACCGCAAACGGCCACAGAAAATGGGGGGCAGCCGCATGCACCATGGACGTACGGGCGACGTCCATGACAATGCCGATGCGGCGCTCAGCAATCCCATTCTGCTGTGGAGAGTCCGGAAGCGTGAAGGTCTGGCGGATGCCTCGTGCCCGACAGTAGGCTCGCAGAAGGCCGGAGGAGAACTCTCCGCCTCTGTCCGAGTGCAGACGCAAAACAGGAAAGTCCGAGCCGAAGCTCCGCCTGAGCTGGAGACGAGCTTCGCGGATCCAGTCGATCAACACCTCAGTGACCTCACCCTTGCTGCGCAAGGGGAAGATTGTGGTGTAACGCGAGTAGTCGTCAACCACCAGCAGGAAGTAGCGCTCGTGACCCTGTCCACGGACGCGGGCTGGGCCCCACACGTCCATGTGAAGCGTCTGCATCGGGGCCTCCGTCGGAGGAAACGGGGAGGAGTGAGGGGTAGCCCGCAGGCGACCCTCAACACAGGGGACACAGGGAGGGCCAGGCCCCGTAGGAAGGGGAGGGAGGGACCGGGGAAGGCCAGAGACAAGAAGGCGAGAGGCCATGCCCCGGAGACGAGGCAAGGAGGGGTGACCCATCCTGTGGTGCCACAGGAGGGTCTCGTGGGACAGGAGGCGACACGAGTAGGGGGCAGACTCAGGACCAGACCTGGACGCTGCAGCAAACACCTGACCCGACGCTGCTACCTGACCAGACGCAGGAGGAGGAGACGGAACAGTGAGTGTGTACAGGCTCGACCCCGGCCCATGTGTGAACGTGGTCAAGTGTCGACCCGTGTCCGCGTCCGTGCAGTGGGTGTCCCGTCGGCGTGCAGGGGTGAACTGGTCAACCCCTGCATCCTGTAGGTCAGCACCTGCCACCAAGTTCGTAGAGAACGAGGGGAGGTAGAGACCGGACAGGGAGCCAGACGGGACCGCAGGGCACGGAAGGACAGTGGAGTAGCGAGCCAGAACAGAACCCCCAGAGGGGTCCGCCAGGGAGACTGCCACAGGCCGACTAAGCGGCGTGAGTGTGGTGCGGTCTCGAAAGAAGGAGCGAGACGCTCCTGAGTCAAGAGTGAAGGTGAGAGAGGGCGGAGCCGACGCTGTACCCGAGAGAGCAGACTCACCAGCACCTGGGGACACTGACTCACTGGCACCTAGAGCAGCAGCCTCAACAGCACCTAGAGCCGCAGTCTCAACAGCACCTGGAGCAGCAGCCTCAACAGCACCTAGAGCCGTAGTACCAATGCCCGGGTCGGGCGGGAAACACCGGTAACAGTCACCCTCCTCACTAATAGTCACAGCATACATGGCACGAAGAATAGCATCAAAGTCAAGATCAAAGATAGCTACTCCTGCCCTAGACAGCTGGTCCCAGCGAGGGATCTCAGAGGCATCAGGAAACTGGCGACGCCAAGCGTCAGTCAGGCGGCCGAAGCAGCGCTGGGAGGAGTGTGGACCACCACACGGCTCACCCGCACGGTCGCCAGTGCGCAGGACGTAGGTGCACGGACCAGGACCCCCACCCCTCTGACGTGCAGTGTACCACTCACGGAGCTGCTGCGGGGAGAGGGTCTCCTGACCACGCTGCTGCTGCTGGCGCTGACCACCACCGGAGCCACTCCTCCGCGACGAGCCACGACCTCCGCCGCCTCCTCCGCCTCCGCCGCCACCACCTCCGCTGCCACCGCCACTCCCACCGTCGCCGCCGCCACCACCGCCTCCGCCTCCACTCCCACTACCACCGCCGCCGCCGCCCCCGCCCCCACTGCCGCCACTGACACCTCCACTCCCGCCACCACTCCCGCTACCACCCTCACCTCCTCCGCTGCCTCCACCGCCGCCTCCACCGCCCCCGCCGCCTCCACCACCGCCCCTGCCCCCCTTGCCCTTGCCAGAGCGACGTCTCCCGCTGGGGGCAGACGCCGCACCGACCGACTCAAAACCAACGAGGTCGGCCGTAGCAGCAGAGGCGACAGAGGGTAGGAGGGGGGAGGGGGAACACCCCTCAAAGATGGGGGTGCGCGGGTCACCACGAGAGGCCCCTACAGCGAGAATGCTCTTCTCGGCTGCTAGGAGGGACTTCTCGAGGAGGTCAACAGTGAGAGTGGTGGGGCAGACTAAGAGTAAGTCGTCCCTGACTCCGCGAAGGGAGTCAGGGAGGCGGGTGACAATGTAGTAGAGAGTGAAGTACTAGGGGGGGGGGGGTTCTTGGCGCAGAAGTCAGCAGGAAGCGCAGCGCGGAAGCGAGCGTCACTAGTGCGCAGGTGGGTAATGAGGTCGGCGACCGTGGCAAAAGAAGCAAGGTCGGGAAAGAGGTACGGTAGCATGAGGCGGCTCAGTGCAGCAGTGGCAGGGGTGGAGTAGCGTGCAATAACGGCGTCGTACAAGGTCTGAGCACTCTTGTACGACCCAAAGTGTGCACGCTCAGAGGGAGGGAGGTGGCGACGCACAGCAAGACGTGCAGCAGCATCGCGTGTGGCCCACTGTGAGCGAACAGTGGCATCCTCAGTAGCAGCAGGGGCGGGAGAGGCACCAGAAGTGAGATCAAAGAGAGAGAGGCCGTCAGCTCTGTCGCACTGTAGGAAAAGCAGTAGGTCGTCTACCCACACGTCAAAGTCGATGGCTGTGCCCTCAGCGTCAAAGGTGAGGACACTGGGGGTAGCCATGACAGCAGTAGGGTGAGGGCAGTGCGCAGAGTAAAGCTCAGTGCTCACCAGACAGGGCAGTGCAGGCGGCTCGGGCGGCTCGGGCGGCTCGGGCGGCTCGGGCGGCTCGGCGGCTCGGCTGCTGGGCGGCTCGGGCGGCTCGGCGGCTCGGGCGGCTCGGGCGGTTCGGCTGCCGGGGCGGCTCGGCTGCTGGGGCGGCTCGGCTGCTGGGGCGGCTCGGCTGCTGGGGCGGCTCGGCTGCTGGGGCGGCGCAGTTGCTGGGGCGGCGGGGCCGGGAGATGCAGCTGCGGGGCCGGGAGATGCAGTGGCGGGGCCGTCAGGGGTAGTGGCGGGGCCGTCTGAAGCAGCGGCGGGGCCGGCAGAGGGGACGGCGGGGCCGTCGAGTGCAGCGGCGGGGCCGGCAGAGGGGACGGCGGGGCCGTCAAGTGCAGCGGAGGGGCCGGTAGAAAGGGACGGCGGGGCCGGCAGAAAGGGATGGCGGGGCCGTCAGAAGGGGACGGCGGGGCCGTCAGGTGCAGCTGCGGGGCCGGCAGGTGCAGCGGCGGGGCCGGCAGGTGCGACGTCGGGGTCGGCAGCGGCAGTAGCGGGGCCGGCAGCGGCGACGTCGGGGCCTGCAGAGGCAGGCGATGAGGCCGCGTGGGCGGCGCTAGGGGGCCGCGAGGGCGGCGCGACGCAGCAGAGCCGCGAGGGCGGCGCGACGCGGCCGTAAGGCCAGCGCGACGTGGCCCAGGCCGCGCGCGCGAAAAAAAAAAAAAAAAAGGGTCGCGCGCGCGACTCGCGGGGGCCACAAGGGCAGCGCGAGAAGGACTAGTGGGAGCGCGCTTCGGGGAGAGAAGGGCGCGCTCCGGGCAGCGAAAATTTCGTGGGTGGGCCCTTAAAAAATGGTCCTTAGGAAGGACCCGCTCTATACTATGTTGAGATTAGAGAGAGAATGAATGCACTATGAAATGAAACAAGTACAAGTACCAACCCTAATTGGGTTGTACCCCCTATGGGCTACCCCACTACAGCCTAAATA